TAAGACAAGTATACAAGATACATGTATACTAGGTTATCTAGAAAGTAAATCATCAATATACAAGTGTACATACTAAGTACGCTAAACAATATTGAAATGAAAGAACGACATATATATTCAAGTATACATTACTAAGTATACTAAGCAATGTTGACATACATGATATACAAGTATACAAATCCAAGTATATAATGCAAGAAATGAAGTATCATGCATCCTAGCACAAGTTAAAAGCAATCAAAGATTACAACTAGGAATTGAATGCGAAATTAACAATTGGCAGAAAGATAAAGGGCATAAGGTCTCAATGACCAAGCAAGTGGTTCCGGGTTACTAGCCCGCAAAGTACTACCTAGTGCGTAACTAAACCCAAAATAAAACCGTTATATTGGTGAGGGTTACTAGCCCTCAAGGTACCACTCGGTGCGCACTATATGAAATAGAGGGAACTCTCATCCCCCATACTAGAGCCATGCCCTAGCCGTAACAATTTTCAATGTCCATACAAGCTTTCCAAAAATCATTAAGTTGTGTAACAAGTATATCACATATACACAATGCACCAAAATCAATTACCACGCACAATCAAGTCATGAAATACACACAAGCCATGCCCTAGGCATTCAAGCTATAATGGCATATTAAATGTCATATAAATAAAATGTGAATACTTACAAGTCAAATCATAACTTTAACTCACGGAATACTATCATATAACCATATAACAAGTTCCAAACCACAAATTAAGCAAGAATACAATACAAATTAAGCAAGAATACAACATCAATGCCTAATTACCTCAATAGGAGCATAAAGGGGAATTTAATTAACTTAAGTAATTAAATTCTAAAGATTACAAAGTAACTCCAAAAATTTTACAAATCATATATGTCAAAGGTCATATCAAGGCCTATTTTAATTTCATGATACAAGTTAATTCTAAAGTAGGCATCACTAGGTGAATTAAATTTCATGCAAGATAATAATTAAATAAAGTATTCAAGACTCATTCAATTATTCTCAATTTAAAATATGTTAATAAACATATCAAGGCCTAATTTAAAACCACATTACAAGTTAATTATGCACTAGTTACAACTAGGTAAATTAAACTCAATGCCAAGAAAATAATTAAATAAAAATTTCATTACTTATTCAAATAATCCCAATTTTAATATATGTTAACAAACATATTAAGGCCTAATTTAATAGCGTGTCATAATTTAATTCCAAGCTATATACAACCATGTGAATTAAATCTTATACAAGAAAATAATTAAATTAAATTATAGAATTAATACAAAGGCATGCTTGCAAGTTGTATATGCTTATAAAACTATCAATACAACACACATATAAACCTAAAACATCCCTTACTTCACTTTGAGATGAAATCTCAAATCCCCACAGAAAGGAAATTGTTCCGAATCTGACGATACTTCTAGGTCATGTCGGGGACTATAAGGGAAACAACTTTAACCCTTGAGGCACCATGAAAATCCAAACTCGAACTCAAAACCTGAACTCAAAAATGGTTGGAAATGGTTTCTAATAAGGGGGAAATGAGCACCTCGCCAAGGCCTACGATAAAGCTTAAGGCATCATGGCATTTTACAAAGGGGAAGAGGGTTAATTTGAGAGAAGAAGGGTGGCAGCCCCCTTTGGGCTGCTATGGCTGATCTGCAGTAGTGTGAGAAGAGGAGGAAGATGATTTTTTAATTTTATAACCCTTATTTATAGTAAAACCCTAAAAGTACCCCAAAAGGTCCCCACTAGGTCCGAAAAAGTGGAATTTGTGTAGGCGTGCTCAAACGGTAAAACACCATGAACGAAAAAGAACAAAATGAAAAAAAAATGAACAACAAAAGAAACGGTGTCAAAAATTGAGTCCCATGCAGGAAGATATACCCCGAACAAGTTCGGCGGCAACCGGGGACGAAAACCCTAAAACTGGGGAAATGACCAGAAGACAATTCTAAGAGTACGTGACTCGATGAAAAGTGAAAATGAATCCCGTACTAGGACCCAGGCTCAAAACGAGATATTTTGCGATAACTTTCGTTAATTGCATAATGGCTCCAACAAAAAGGGATAACTGCAAAACTGCCAAGAATGAAAAAGATATTTTCATAAAAACCCCTAATCAAAATATCTCTAAAAGATATTTATGAAAAACACCCCAAGAAACATCAATGTTTCTGAAGAATCTTTTCATCCACACCCTTATGGGAGAAAGAAACAACCGGCGAGCTTTTCTCCAAAAGTAAAGCTATGCATTTCGAGGAAATTAACTGGAATGAAAACTTATGAAGTTAAAACTCAACTCCGAACACGAAAAGTGAGGTTGTGCCCACAAAGTGACAAATGGAAAAAAGACGAAAAGTGAATAGTGTCTAAAAAGTGAAAATGTGGAAATGATTCGGACCTTAAAGAAAGTGATCAATCTAAAGGAACAAGTCTTAGAAACCATTTTTGAGCACTCGAGACAACACTAAGTAATGAGTAACCGAACTCAGAAAAGAAAATTCAACGAAAAAAATTCATCCGTAAAATTTGAGAAAAAGGAAAGGAAGGAAAATGATAGGGTCATTACATTGGATTTTTAATATATTTGCATGAGATGCATTTTAGTCCTAAAGTTGCATTATAGGTTACTTAAGTGTGTGAATGAGATTTACACACAAGAGATTTGAGCTCACCGGTTTCTTGCACCTTAGTATCATTCACAGTCGGTAATAAAAGTTGGGTACCTTAATCTGTAAGATTGTAACACCCTTGACCTCTATGAGATAGGATGATTTGTTTTAACCATTGGGGTAGTTGACTCTAAGTCGGTGTGTTAGTGTGCTTAGCGTACATTGAATTGGATCACCATAAGATTACACCATACAAATTACTGTTATTATTTTGGTATGGTTCTTATCTACTAAATACATTAAGCTCTAAATCCTGAAAGGTTTAGTGACTCAAGTTTCAGTATTGGTCACTTTGACTTACTAACGTGTGAGATTTTTTAAGGTCAATACCACGGTATCTTGGGTGGCTAATGTTGGAGCTCTGGGAACACAAATGCTCAACATCGAATCAATACTCTATAAGAGTTAAAATATCCCCTTGATACAATTTAATAGGTTTGATCACTGGAACCTGGCTAGGGATTTTTAGTAAAATGTTTACTAAATTAATTTTCTATTATTTATTTAGAAAAATATTTATTTTGTAAAAGAATTTATTCAATGATCATAATGATCAAATTGGTTACTCAAGTAATATAAGATATAAGTAAGCCTTAGGTGGGATAGTATATATTTTCCTGGGGCTACTTATGGATATTCGATAGTAGAGGGGTTTATATGTAATTATTTAGTAGGATAGGGCTTTGTTGTAATTTTTAAATTTTAGAGTGCAATCACAATAATATAGTGGTAATTATTGTAATTAATTGGATAGGGTAGAGTTATGAGATAACTCAACCTTTATCCAATTGAAGCTGAGATAAGGATTCCCTTCAATTCTCATCTCTAACCCTATCAATTAGATGGTGCATATATCTTCGTTGCCCTTAGGTATATATTATGAAATAACAGATGTAAAAATAGTTTTATGAAAATAGAGAAAGAATAGACATACGGTTCCCATAAGCCAAACCATCTATTCTGGGGTCATAAAGGTGAAGCTTCACTAGTGTTCAGGCTAAAGGAGGAGTGCATGCGTGTTGTTGTATTTGATGATTAATCAATCGTCAAAAGGTACGTGATCCTTTTCAATACTTATTGATTTGATAAAAAAATCATGTAGTTATAGTCTAATTTTTTTTAAATCGTTTCCGTTTTGCCTTCAATATCAGAGTCAACCACGTGATATTCATCAAATCATATTGATGAGTTGATATTCTTATTGTTATTTAATTGTATACATGATTAGCCGTGGACGGTTATGTATATATTTAGTAGCAAGTGTTCACTGAAGTTAACTGTGATTGGCTTCAGTGAACATTATCCTCTTTTCTATTTATGTTTGTCACCGAAGGTCTCTCTCTTCTATTTCATGAAGTCGAGAGAAAGCGATAGATTTCAGGGTTGCGTATGGGTAGAGGTTGCCCTTCATTCTCTCACCTTTTGTTTGCTGATGATGCCCTTATTTTCAGTAGGGCTTGGGATCTGGAAGTTAGGCGGGTTAAGGCCATTCTCAACAGATATGAGTCTCTAACGGGCCAACTCATCAGTTTGGAGAAATCTTGCCTCTTGTTTTCTTTTAACACTCCTCCATCTTAGAAGGAGTTTTGTCGCCAGAGTTTGGGTCTTCAGAATGTGGATTGGAATAATCAATATTTGGGCTTTCTGCTCTTCTGGGCCGGTCTAAAGTGAGCATTTTAAATTTCATTCATGATAGAGTTTCTAAGAAGATTGCTTCTATTAAGGGTTCTTTATTATAGGAAATTATGGTGAAGTTCGTCCTTTTAGCTCTTCCTACATATTTAATGCAATGTTTCAGATTACCTAAAAAGAACTGTGAGGATTTGTCACGTTCTTTTTCCAATTTTTGGTGGAGTGGTTTAAAGAAGTCTCGTAAAATTAAATGGATTAGTTGGGACAATTTATGCAAGTCTAAATAAGGTGGCAGACTCGGCTTTAAAAATATTGAGTCTTTCAATCCTGCTCTCCTTGCTAAGATTGCTTAGTGGATGGAAGTTGGGGATGAGTCTCTTCTTTACAAATCTTTCAAGCACAAATATTTCAAACTCTGTAATTTTGTAGACGCACCTCATCATCCGACTGCTTCATGGATTTGGAAGAGTATTATGTCTTCTAAGGAAGTTATTAAGCATGGTATGCGATGGCATATTGGGGATGGTTCTTCGGTTAACTATTAGCTTGATAATTGGCTCCCCGTTCCTATTAATTGCGCTATGCTTTCTCGCCTCAAGGGGCTCATTTCTCTTCAATTGCTAACTTAATTCTCTCGAATTTGTATAAATGGAACTCTGACTTAATTGGAAGGTTTTTTAACCAAAGTGATCGTGACTTGATTTTGCAACTTCCGTTGAGTGTTTTGGGTGGTTTGGACTGTAAGGTTTGGGGTGCTTCTAAAAATGGGCAATTTTCGGTTAAGAGCGCATACTATATTGCGGAATCACTTCTTTGCAAAGAAGTTTCCTTTCCTTTAGAGGAAGAGTGTAGCTTTGATGCTAATCGAGGTTCAATGTGGAAACAAGTAGGGCGGCTCCATTCACATAGGAAGATTCAACTGTTCTTATGGCAGTCTCTTTATGATCGAGTCCCTGTTAATGAACTTCTTTGGCATAGGCAGGTGGTGGACAATCCGTTATGTCATATTTGTGAGTCCAATGTTGAATCTGTGCACCATCTTCTTTGTGTTTGCCCATTTGCATGTTTAGTGTGGCAACTGTGTTCCTTACGTGTGGATTTCACTAGGGTGTAGCCGTCCTTTTGGTCATTAAGATGAGTTTCTCTTTGTGAGAAGTAGTCTGCTTCTACTGCCTCGGATGAGTGCATGGGTTTGGCTATTTTTATCTGCATATGGAAATGCCACAATGATTTAGTTTTTAAGAAAAAACGGTGGGATCCTTACGAAGCTAGTTTACTGGCCTTTCATGCTTTCCAGGAATTTCAGGAACATGCTCGTCTTTCCCGTCGGATGTTCAAATCGCCTTTGTCGATTTCTTCTCCGACTGTTGTGCTTTGGTCAAGGCTGGATTTCCAAGGCTTTAACCTTAATTGTGATGCTTGGTTCTGTCTTTCTCGTCACGTGTGTGGTGGAGGAATGATTCTTCGTGACCACGACGTTTGTCCTATTAAGGTAGCCTCCATTTTCCTTGGACATGTGAACAAACCTTCCATGGAGAGGGGTTGGTTCTTCGAGAGGCTCTTGTTCAGCTTTGGTGGTGGGTTTATCACAAGGTCATTGTTGAAGGTGATTGCAGGCCTATTATGAGATTGGAAGCTGCTGATGATACACTTAATGTAATTTTTAATGATATTCTTTCTCTGCTTAAGGACTGTAAAGGTTTGTCTTTAGCTTGGACTCCTCGTGGAGGTAATATGGTTGCTCACTTGTTGAGCAAACATGCTTTTAAAGCCGCATGTGGCGATTTAGAGTGGCGCATATGGCCTTCATGGTTGTTAAATGCTCTTCTTTCCGATTATGTAATTATTCTCTTTGATATCTAGTTCCTCTGTTTGGTGTTAAAAAAAAAAAAAAAAAATTGTGATTGGCTTTATGTTGCAATGAGATTCATAGTTTATGTGAATCTCTCTCTCTCTCTCTATATATATATATATATATATATATATATATATATATTTATTTAATCGGCGGTTTCACAGTACAGCCGAGGGTAAGGAAAAGAAAATTATTGGTGTTCTCAATTTTCGTGACAACATAGAAATAAATAAAATAAAATAAACTGTTGGATTTTGGGTAGGTTAAATCCATATGATATATATAGTTCATAGATGGTTGTCCAGATTAGTTGTATATAGTTTACATGGGTATTGGGTCATATGGTCCTGAGTAACTAAATTTTATTTTAGTATTATTTTAATCCTTTTAACACTTGGATTGAAATAATTGGTGGATGCCATATTGTCTACATAGAAATCTTTGATTGATTATCTGTTTTGTTTTCTACCTGGGAATGATCATTGTTTGGTCATGGCATCCTTGTGTATCTTTGTTGTTGATTGAACAATGCATAGGAATAATTAATGAATATAATATATTTTATTAATATTATATTTATTTAATCGGTTAATCCATGCCATGGGAATCGGGTATCAGTGTTTAATAAAAGTCTTCTTCTTCTTCTTCTTCTTTTATTTTATTTTATTTTTATTTTTATTTTTTTTGGTATCCAGCGGCTGCACATAGGTAGCCACTGGTGGCCAGTACTACCCCCATTAGTTTGGGTGTTAGTGTTAGTGATTACCAGATTTACATCATTGGATAAAATAAAATAAAAAATGGATTATTGGTTTTCTAATGATGGCCTTTCAGTGTAAAGGACTTCCTATGTGATGGGTTGTCCATACAAAAGGTAATCAGATTACTTTGGTCTTGGGTACAACTTCCAGTATAATAATAATTATAAAAACCTTTGATTGAATGTATATGTAATCTTTACTTATCTTTTCATGTACTAGTTTAAATCATTGGGTTCTCTGTTTTGATGCAATCAATTTTGATATTATATTTTTATGGTTATATGCATGCATTTGTATACATAAATTTGATTGCTGGTGCAGATTAATAATTTCTCTCTCTCAGGCCCCGGTTGAGTTGAATTTTTAATTTATTATCTAATTGCATACATGTAATTAATTAATTTGAGGTGACCTTTTAAAAGGCCAATCCAATAAGGATTGGTTTTCCCTAACCAGATAAGTTTATATTATTTTATCTTAGTTTAGAGCATCTCTAATGAAAAATGCTATATTTTCATGCCAAATTTATATTTTGAGAGTTACAGTGTTAAAATGCTATATTTTTGCAATTCTGCGCCAATTGTGCATTTTATCCAAAATGCTATTTTTTGACACAATAATTATTCTATATTTTGAGAGCCCATTGGAGTGCCTTATTTTCATTTTAGCAACTTTTGACAATCTCAAAATATGTGAGTTCTTTTGAGAGAGTCCATTGGAATGTCTATTTTCATTCACTTGTTATATTTTGAGTTTGAGAAGCCATTTGAGAGCTGTTATATTTGAAAATACATTTGAGAATCTCAAAATATGAGAGATTTTTTGATAGCCCATTGGAGTGCCTTATTTTCATTCACCTGCTATATTTTGAGTTTGAGAGCCCATTTGAGAGGCCATTGGAGATGCTCTTAGAATTTTTGAAATCCCTAAATTGGGTATAAGATAAAGCCTTGTACTACATTCTTTTATTTTAGGGTTGAAGCTCTTAAAGAGTTCAAGAAAAGGTTCAAACAAAATAAAAGTTGTGGCTTCCAATAAAGGACTTTGAAAGCACAAAACGATCATGAGATGATTTTTTACTGGCCATGAGAGGGGATTAGCACTATTTATGGTGCAACATGATTTTTATTTGTGTGCTTATATTCACGTGATGGTTATATATGCTTGAATGTCATGCTTAATCAATGAATGGCTCTAGTTATGTTTTAGTTAAGTTTAAACTAAATGGAATTAGAATTACTTATTTGGGTGGTTTTGGGAAAATTAGCACTTTCCAAAATATTATCAAAAATTTAGGTTAAGTTCGAGTTAAGTTGACCCAAATATTTTTGAAAATTTAGGTTAAGTTTAAGGTAGTGATATGATCTCTTGGTAGTGGTATGTTCTTATTGCTTCTTGGGAGAAACGAGTGAATACCTACAAGGATTATGATTACCGATGTTTTCATTATATCAGTGGTTTAGAAAGACCAATGGAGAGGCTGTATGAAAACTATAGGTTTTTTTTTTTTCTCCTGTATGTATGCCATTTTATTTATGCATGAATGTTTTTATATATTTCAGATGTTGAATGTTTTTAGTCCACTTGCTGTTATACTTAAGGACAACAAATTAACCGGGCGGAACTATGTTGATTGGAAGAGAAATCTTCACATTATGCTTACTGCGTAAGAGTACAATGTTGTGTGCACTCAGGAGTGACCTCCTATGCCGGCCCTAATGATAGCTAGGAGCTAAAGAAACGAGAAATGGCAAAAGGCTGATGAAATGGTCAAGTGCTATATTTTAACTTCAATATCAAACGTTTTACAACATCAGCATCAGTTTTTTGTCACTACTCGTGACATTTTGTTGAACCTTAAGGAAATGTTTGGGGAACAAAGTAGAGCGGCATGACAAGTCGCACTGAAAGAGATTATGAACGCTCATATTCCTGAAGAAACTCCAGTTGGTGATCACCTTTTAAAATTGATTTCTTATTTAAATGAACTGGAGGTTGTTGTGGCAGACATAAATGGTGAGACCCAGGTTGATAAAATTCTGCAATCATTACTAGAGTCATTCAATCAGTTTAAAGGAACAACATAGCTTATTCTTTATCAGAACTGATGAATGATCTGCAAGCTGCAAAAAGAATTTTTAAGGATCAAGGGAGTGTTCACACATTGGAAAAGGGTTTTTCTTCTCATGGAAATCCGAAAGGCAAGAACCATGATAAGAATAAAGATTTCACTGTCCCAAAAAGGTTGGTACTAGTGTTAGGATTGTCAAGGATAAGGGCAATGCTAAAATCAAAGGAAATTGTTTCCATTATGGTAAGGAATAGCACTAAAAAAGGAATTGTCAGGTGTATCTAGCAAAGAAGCACCCTGAAGGTATGCTTCAATCACTCATTATTAAGACATGATATGTGGGTGAATCTACAGTACCTGGTTTGTAGATTCTGGAGCCACTAACCATGTTTGTAATTTTTTACAAGGGTTACAAGATACTTGAAGAGTGAGTGAAGGGTAGATATCTATCTTCATCTTGCTTCACAAGCAAGGGTAGCGGCAATATCAGTAGGAGTAGTTATTTTGAAATAAATTATAGGAGTTTATTATTAAAGATTGTCTTTATATACAAGAGAGTAGAAGAAACTTGATTTTTATTTCAATTCTTTCAAAATCTGGGTTTTCAATATCTTTTGATTCAAAAGTTTTAATAAATAAAAATAAAAGGTTTATTTATTCTGGTACATTGATGGATGGTCTTTATTTAATTACTCCTACACCTCACTCCTTGTATGATAGTGAAATAATTGATGTGTTGAATTTCTTACCATTAAAAGGAGAGATTCCTTCGAATAACTCTATATATTTTTGGCATATGTGGTTAGGTCATATTAATCTAAATAGGATCCAAAGAGTGTTTAAGGATGGGCCTTTGGGCTCTTTAGTGGTTAAACCACTAAAAGTTTGCGAATCTTACTTAGAGGGTAAAATGATCAAAAGGGCTTTTAAGGAAAAGAGGCATAAAAGCTAAAGAGGTACTAGAGTTGGTGCATACGGATGTATGTGTTCCCATAAATGGGATCATATCCCAAACTTCTGCACTAATCACACCATAACAAAATGGTGTTGTAGAAAGAAGGAATAGAACTTTACTGGACATGGCAAGATTGATGATCAGTTATTCAAGTCTACCAGTATTCGTTTGGGGATCTATCTAAAGTAGTTCCAAACACTCCCAAGGAATTGTATACCAGGTGTAAGCCTAGTTTACAAAATTTATGTAAGTGAGAGTGTCCTGTACGTGTGTGGAAAGGAAAGCTTGAGAAGATGGGGCCGAGATTAGATGTTTATCTATTTGTGGGTTACCCAAATGGTACAAAGGGGTATTCATTTTATGATCCTAAGGAGAAAAAAGTGTTCGTTAGCACGAATGCTACTTTTCTCGAGGAGGATTATATAATGAATCACTATCCTCTAAGCATGGTTGTTTTAGAGGAGATGATAGATACACTAATCAATCCAAGAGTGGATATGACAGTTATGGATGATGAGACATCAGAAACTATGACTCCAGAACTTCTTATTATATCGGAACCTCAATGTAGTGGGAGGGTTATCAGGCCATCTGATAGGTTAATACTTTTGGGAAAGTCTGACGAGATAATCCGAGAAGAGCAAGATCCTACTATACTTATGAAAAGGTTACAAATGATTGTGACTCGGAATGTTAGGTTTGATCGAGTGGTCAAATCATTTGAACTTGATTAGAATCTGAATGGGCCTGGTGTATACAAGAGGAGTGATGAAAGTGTGGTGGTGTTTTAAAGAAATAGTTCAGTATGGGGATATTGTTGTCACTAAGGTTGCATCTGTGAGTAATCTTTTTACAAAGACTTTGCCTATTTCGATTTTGGTGTCTCTTGTAGAAGGAATGGATGTCAGATGAAGTGGTAATTGGTTTTGAGTGCAAGTGGGAGATTGTTAGGATTATGTGTCCTAAAATCCAATTATATACTTTTACTATTCGACATTTGGTTAATAAATATGATTTATTAAATTAGATATTCATGCATTGGGTTTTTCATATATTTGCATGAGATGCATTTTAGTCCTAAACTTGTATTATAGGTGACTCAAGTGTGTGAATGAGATTTACACACAAGAGATTTGAGCTCACCGATTTTTTTGCACGTTAGTAACGTTCATAATCGGTGATAAAAGTTGGGCACTTTTATTTGTAAGATTGTAACACACT